GACTTAGTGGAAGGCAGAAGCTAGGGTGCATCGTTCATCCAGGTGAGTGCTTCTATCCGGGAAACGACTCCGACCTTCTTCGTCTTGAGAGCTGCTAGTCTGGCGAGCGCGTTTTTTTCTGTTTTTTTTGTCAAGGTTGCTTTTCTATAGGTTTCGCATCACCAAGATTGGAAGCGAGTTGAAGATGATTAGGTGGGGTGGCATGTGGTAAGTGTTGGTGGTGATTTAGAGCTTGGGCGACGGGATTGATCTCCCCCTCCTTCCTCAATTGGTTGGGAATGAATGTCTTGTAGGGTTTGAACCCCCTACGACGACTCACTGACAGGTTTGGTAAGGTGGAGTCGCACTGTCTTCTGATCCCTGGGGGGGTGACGATGACCGTTGATGTCTTCGGCGTTAGCATTGCTTTGATGCTTAGTGGCTAACAGTGGGAGGAGGGTAGTCCTCTTTCCCTGAAGATGGTGGGGTAGGGTTTGAGGGGAAGGGTATCGATTGAGGAGGAAATTTATATTAGGAAGTTCTGTGTGATTTCGCCTAAATAGTTGTTAACGATTTTCATGATTTTCGTATACTGTTTAGAAATTCAACAAAATTATAAGTGTTTTCGTCGAAATTTGATATCCCCTAAATAGATTGATAGGTTTTAAGTACAATTTTCAAAGAAATTATCACAACTCTCTCAAATATGGGCCAGTCGATTTGTTTTTCTGTTTACTTGGGGTTCTCGAAATCGAGAGTCGTAAGCCCTTTTGGACATCAGAATCGATATCCCTATTTTGTTTCCCTATTTGGATCGTCAAATCTTATCAAATTTGATCTTCAATCTTATTTTTATCTCGATTGATTCTCTGATTTCCATGCTATTCTCTCAAACATGGGTCAGTCGATTTGTTTTCCTGTTTAGTAATTTCCTGATTTACAGTCTGAGCAATTCCGAACCTTGGGGTTCTGGAAATCAGAGTCATACGTCCTTTTGGACATCAGAATCAATATCCTTATTTTGTTTCCCTATTTGGACTGCCAAATCTTATCAATTTGATCTTTAATCTTATTTTCATCTCGATTGATTCTCCGAGTTTCATGCTAAATTCACGATTGAAAGTTCGTTTGCATGTTGAAAAAAAATAAAAAATATTTAGGTTTCTTAAATTTGGAATTCGTATTCTGATTTTGTGTGTAGAAATTTTCAAAACAATATTTTCTTAAGTAATTAGTCTTAGTTATGATGCGGTTTTTGCAAACAAAAAGGGGAAGGTCGAACTAGAGGCAGGAGGGAAGTGGGGGGGGCTCACTCAGAAGAGGGATGAGCAGGTCAAGGTGGTAAACCTAACTAGAAGGGTGGGGTGGGACGGCATTGGCCGGTGCTGGAGCATTTGCTCTGTGACCAGGGAGCTTGAGGCCATTGAAGTTAATATGCCGAGGGTGCAAGGCATAACCATCTTCCCGACGTAGCTGTTGCCGGGGCGGTGACCATGTAACCTTTTGAGGGGCCTTACATTTAGGTCGTTACTGGGGCAGTTGGTCACAGAGCCACTGCTCCAACACCGGCCAATGTCGCCCCACCCCGCCCTTGTAGTAGACTTACCACCCTGAGCCACACTTCCTCTATGCGCGAGCCCACCCAAAATTCCGTCCAAACCGTACTTCCGATTTTCACCTTCCCACTTAAAAACCAAAAGGAAAAAGGACGAGAACTAGAACCACTAACAATTAATCTCCTACCCTCACCGCAGATGGAGGACACGCCGACCAGGCTTTCAATCCTCGTACCAGAAATCATCAGATCTCATACCCCGCTGCTAGGGTTACAAGGCAACACAAACTGCCCCAGTAACGACCTAACTGTTTCTGACGGACAGAGTGTCGTTCCCCCTCAGCAACTTTGGAGTTATGCCGAGGGTCACTCTGTTGAGGGGCCTTACCTAGCTGTTGCTGAGGGGGAACGACACTCTGTCCGTCAGAAACAGTTAGGTCGTTACTGGGGCAGTTTGTGTTGCCTTGTAACCCTAGCAGCGGGGTATGAGATCTGATGATTTCTGGTACGAGGATTGAAAGCCTGGTCGGCGTGTCCTTCATCTGCGGTGAGGGTAGGAGATGAATTGTTAGTGGTTCTAGTTCTCGTCCTTTTTCCTTTTGGTTTTTAAGTGGGAAGGTGAAAATCGGAAGTACGGTTTGGACGGAATTTTGGGTGGGCTCGCGCATAGAGGAAGGGTGGCTCAGGGTGGTAAGTCTACTACAAGGGCGGGGTGGGGCGACATTGGCCGGTGTTGGAGCAGTGGCTCTGTGACCAAGAGGAGCCTGAGGCCTTTGGAGTTATGCCGAGGATGGAAGGCATCAGGGTTGTCGACCCCCGGACCCGGGGCCCCGGCGGGGGTCCCGGGGGTCGGGGGTCGGCACCCCCGGCCCCGACTTTCCAAACAAAAAA